GAAGCACAAAGAGCTCAGAAAATACCTTTCCTGGAAGGGCTTGTAGAGGCACTCAGACACCAGGGTGAAGTCGAGCCAAACCATCTGCAACACGGGCATGAGGCAACACAGGGGAGCGAAGGCTGAGCAGGAACCCAGGCGAACCCACTGTCACGGGAAATTGCTTCTGCAGTAAACAGCAACCGCCACCTATGATTATACTCGATTTAAGCAAATGAGCTTCCCAATCTTGCGCTCTCCAAATATGCACGGCTTCTTGACCCCACCCCATCAGCCTCCCTAGGGCTGGGCAGGGAGAGGGGATAGCCCACACAGATCAGAGGCCAGTTGCAGAACTGGGCTTTAGCCCAAATTACAGAGAAAAGCTGGGCTAAGTCACTTTTTCCCCCACTTCCCTTGTCATCATGCTCCTGCCTTCTTTTGAAGATTGTCACCTTCTTGGCCTGAGGACTTCGAGTGCCTGCATGCTGCTCAACACAGAAGGGATCTAGAGAGCAACAAGGCCTTGATGGTATCAGAAATGATCAGTAATTAACAAGTCAAAAGCACTTTGACACTCCTACCCTTACCCAAAGCCTCCTCACCATCCACAAGCCAAGACAAAGGTTCCTAATGAGCCCTTGGGGAAGTAGAGGAGAGGAAAGCAGAGGAAGCAGAGGAAAGAGGAAGGCAACAACTCACTGCCCAGCTGGTTAGAGCAGTGCTGCACCAAGGACAGCCCCAAGCCTCTCACCTCCCCACAGCAGGGACCCCCCAGCTCCCCGACTGCACCTCAACTCCAGCCTTGACTTGTGCTGCTCTTCCATCCTCCCCACAAACCCACCACTTAAATAGGCAAACCTGACATCTAAAAGTTAAGGCAGACCATCACCATCAGTTCCCCCTGCTCTGGTCACAGGACATTCATTCCTACATATCCAATTATTGCAGTTTTTCTCCAAATCTTGGGCAAAAAGGGGCTTCACTCAGTTGTCTGGCAGGAGCTTACCTCCACCCTTCACATGGGAGTGCCGGATCGCAGTGAGCAGGGCTGGGGCTCCTCTGACCCAAAGCCTATCTGCCTGTCTTTCATGTTAGCAGCAACCATACAGATAAGATTTCTGTGGTAATATTGTGCTGTCTTCCAGCACGATAACTAACTGTTCCTGCCCCCAGAGGAAAATGCAATTGCCGAGAGAATTTTTTCTGTTGACAAAAGAAAAATTAATGGCTTAAAAACCCTCCCCCTCCTCCGTGGAAAAAAAAAAAAAAAAAAAGATGTCTGCATGGGAGCCCATGGATTTGTTCCACAGCCCCCAAAGCACATGTTCACATGTTCCCTCCTTTTTGCCACAATATGTTTGAGCTGCTGGATCCCAGACACTCCGGCTGAGCCAAGCTTTCTGCCTGGTCGACTGCTCCAGGCACAGTCTGTGGAGATGCAGGCCAGCATCCGCCGGCTCCAGAGGAGCTCTCCACTCCGCGGCACAGGGAGGCTCTGATTCATCTGGAGCTCGCAGGGTCGTACTGCCACGCTCCTGCTCACCCACACACCCAGTCAGCGGCTGTTTCAGGTTCCAAGCACACCTGCGCAAGGATCCAGAGCAACCTGGAAAGGGCCTGGCCCTGGGCATCTTTGCGGGGAAAGCAGCATCTTCCATGAGGTCTTACCAGCATGCTGTTGGCTGTGGGTTCCGAGGCAGGAGCAGACACCTCCACCTGCACCACGCGAAGAGCATGCGAGGCTGTCGGGAGACACTGACTCACTCCCAGGAGCTGATGAGTACGATGAGAGCAACACGAGTAAGGACCAGCGCAGACAACAGCACTGGAAAGGAAGCGAGTTTCCACCCAGGCAAATGATGTGCTGGCTACAAAATTCCCCGGGCCCCCAGCTGCCCAGAGCCTGCGAAGGTGAAGGTCTGAAAGAGGCACTGACCTAACTCGAATGCACAGCTGGGCCAAGCGGAACAGGTGACAGGGACAACTCTGCACTCACAGTTAGAGCTCACCGAGATAAACCAATCTGGTCCAAGGCAAACAATCAACGACAACAGCGAGAACAATGTGATCGTGGGAGCAGAGCCAGCACCTCCCTACTAAACACATGGCAAAAAATACGCCTGGAAAATCAGAGCACGATGGTCATTAAAGCCAAGGACGAAACGAAGAGCAGTGACCACCCCAGGGCCCTGTGTTCAAACACAAAGGTGTCTAGATCCTCCCCGGGACACCAGCTGCTGGCATCATCTGCCAGCTCTGCTGCCTGCCCTCCTTTTAGCAGC